TTTTTAATAAAATATAAAACTTGTTGAAACAAGTATAGATTAACTTAATCTATTCTATATTTAACTATGAACTCATGCCCAAAAATTTTAAGTTGAAACTATTGCTATTGTCAGGTGGGCCAAAATCGATCAATTTGCCCAAGGTTACTAATTAGTAAAAAGTGCCTAGCTGATAATTTTACTATAACGGTTTGGGCCCTATAGCTTAGTGGTTAAGCTCACAAACCCCCACAGACAAGGTCAACGGTTCGAGTCAGGCTGGTGGCAAATTTTGAATTTTTGTTACTATAACTTATAGAGCTATAATCGAACGTAAAGCCCTGTGGAAAGTCCAAGTGCAAGTATAGTTCTGGAATAGAAATTTCTGAAAGGAGCCCTGATCATGGAGTGCAGGCACTATATATGATAGCGGCATTACAGAAAGTCTAGGTTGTAGAAGATTGCACGAGTAAGTTCTCTGGTTGGGGTAACTAAAGAGGCAATACCAACATCTCATCACCTCCGTATGTAGCAATACCAATATCTCTGTACCCAACTTGTAGGGTACTTGCTTGGAAGAATGATCAACAGATTGTATGTATAAGTCCCAATATGGTTGGCATTAGGTACTTGCTTGGAAGGGTGATACGATACTATTAAAACTGGAATGGTAAGAGAAGCGATGAACATATGAAAGGGCTGTAGTAAAGAATTGGCTTTACCTAAATTGGAAGCACCTCTGGTACTGTGAAGCAACTAACTAAAGAAGGTAATTTCATAGAGGCAGACTAGCTAACCTAGTATGTCTAAAGGCACAAATCAGAGCTCTGGTCATACCTATATGGAAGTTAATGACAAAAGATGCCAGAATATATCAACAATAATACAACACCAACCAATGAGAAGATCAAGTTGGATGTCAAGTTGAATTGGGGTATGCCTCCTAGTAACATGACGCAAGGCCTATGGTTAGAAGTAGAGCTGCTTACTATTTAAGGAATTTCATGGTGTTAGGCTAGTCTTTAACAAGATAGGTCATTAAAGTAGCATTTCGAAATATGGTTCTGGTAATATACTATATAAGGAAGTACAAATAGGTTAGTTAGTACCACTATATCAGAAAAAGAATATTAAGTTCTGGGATAGGATGTACTATCTCATTACAAAAGAATTCATCATCTAAAAATATAACATCTTTGTCATATTTAAGGCAGTTCTCATGTTCATCTACTGAGAGTATACGCGTTTCATCTTTAAGTATAAAGAAACCTGAAACATGAAAATAGTCTTCTTTCCCATT